TATGTATTATCTCTAACAAATCTCATAAATCCTTCAAGGTTCGGAGGAGGTTGCGTTGGTGGTGGTGGAAAAGAAGCTTGTTCATCACCACTTCCGGGCGAAGCCGAATCCTCCGTAAGTTCCGTTATCATTTCTTCATAAGCTTCATCTATCGCCGGTTGTGATTCTACAATTCCAAAGTTTCTTCTTTCCGAGCGGATCCAATCTCTAAACAGTACTGATTTTTCCAAGCTATCCCTCATAGACGCTCTATGATCACCTATTTGCAGTCTTGCCTGACTGAAAGCGCTCTCTGATGCAACATTTGAAGCTTGAATTGATAAAATATCCTGAGCCATCCTTGCAAGAACCAGAAAATATTTTTCCCTTGCCTTCCACCATTCCAAAAGATCAAAAGAGTCGTCTGGATTCTCCTTTTCAAGTCCCTGAGACAAATAAACTTGAAGCTCATTTAGATGTGAAGTTTCATCATAATTTTCACCTTGAGACCCCCTGAACTCCGTCCAAGATTTAAGAGCTTTTAAGCCCGCAACTCTTTTAGAGGATTGTGAGCTAGACGAAGTAGGGGTTGGAATAGTTGGCCTAGCATGCTCTAAGGCAAGTTGATAAGCATTATAAACTGTTTGAGCGTTAATCTTAATTGAAGCTTTTGCATCTGCAAGTGTCGCAATTTCCTCATTTGAAAGATCTAAAGCCTTATAAATATTTGAATACCAAAAATGAGGACCTCCCAATTTCATTGTAGGATTTAGCATTGCAGCAAGACCATAAATAGGAGGGATAGGAAAAAAATATTTTTTAAACTTTTGTTTCATTTCATTTATAGCAAGTTCATAAATATCCCCACCCTCACTAAATTCAACAAACAAATCAGATAGTGCTGCAATATAAACTAAACAGTTTGAAATAGTAGGATAATATTGCCCAGAAAATGCATTTGTTGCAATTTGAAAATGTTCTAAAAAATCTAAAAGAATTTTAACATTAGTCCAATCTTGAGTGGTAAGCATTTCATCATCATCTTCACCACCTACCCGAGAATTAAACGTTGCATTAATTGGGTTTCTATATTCATATGCTACTACTAAACTTTCGTACATACAATTCCATCTAGTCGGGCAAGGTTTAGGAACCTTTCTTTCTCTAAGGCCATATTCATCACATTTTTTAAAATACTCTCTAAGTCTACTTCTACGGTTTGAATAAAAAAGCCAATTAAGAGCCATTCTAACCTTTTCAATTTCTATGTTTAAAATTCGCATAACATCACCGACAATTAAATGATAAATATGACAAATACATCTAACATGAAAAATATTAGTAAATGCAGGATTTAGTGTTGTTGTAAGCATGCCTATAGCACTGGTGTTACTAGAAGCATTATCCATTGAAATTGCCATTATTTTATCGCTAAAGCAAAAATATCTACAAATATCTGCAACAGTGTTAGCTATAAATTTACCTGTGTGACGCGAATTAATTATTCTATATGCAATTATGCGTTTTTGCATTATCCATTCTTCATCTATCCAATGACTTGTAACAGTTAGGTAATCACAATCATTACCACTTCTACCAATATCAGTAGTAATAGAAATCCGATTAGGTATATGAGTAAATAAATAACGCAAATATTGTTCATATTCATGTTTGAATTTATAAATATCACTCTTAACTGTTGCGCGAGGCCAACCTTTATAAGTAGGATTAAACACTCTTCTAATATAATGAACCCAATTAGGATTAGAAGCAAAAGTATAAGGTAAGCACATAACAGTAATCATCTTTGCTAATTCTTCACGATCTCTATTTGGATCGTAATATAAAATACCTCCAGTGACAGTGTTAATTCCTGGTTGAACTAGATTTGAACCTGTACTAGGGTTAATCGCAGAATCTACACTTGTCCCCTCTAGATGCGCTTTCATTTGAAAAAATCTAGCCTTATCTCTAGGGTGTGTTTTTATGTGCCTAGTCAAACTACCTGTGCCGCTACGGTCTCCTACATATTTATGCGACATTAATTTCCCACAAGTTTTACACTTAGCCTTATTTTTTTCTCTTACTTGAGTAAAAAAATTCCAAACTAATGATGTTTCTAAGCGTTTAGCAGGTTCTCTATTAAAAGTAGGAGTTTCTACAGGTGGGTCGACCGGTGCATCACTTGGGTTATTAAGAGGACTAGTAGGTGTATCATCTAAATCCGGTGCTTGAGTTTCATCATCATCCTCATTTTCCTCATTATTTTCTAAGATGGTTTCATTAGGATAAAGAGCATTCATAATTTCATCATCTAATCTATCACCTGGTGCAACATTATGATAAAATTCACTATCGGTAAATTGAAAACAAGGGTGATCACTATCAAGAATTACGGAAGGAGGAGGACGTCTAGGTTGGCGACTACTTTCAACTTGCTTATCTTTTCTAGGTCGGGGAGCCGGGGGAAGGGTAGTTGGTTGGCCACTACTTTCACCGGTTTTATCTTTTCCTTTACCAAACATTTTTTTCAAAGTAAATGCCATATTNTATGATTTCTGTCATTACGAGGTATATATGAGCCGAGTGCTGAAAGTGAGTACTAAGTGACGAGAGTTGAGTCCCGAGTGACTGAGAGGCTGCTCAGGGGGCCATATTCTGAGTGATTCCTTGCCCGAGAGGCCCTGTTATGTTGTTTTCACTGTTTCACTCTTCTTTTTAACTAAGCCTCTGTTGGAAATACTGCTAAGTATATGATTTCAAGTTTTAAACAGAAAGTGTGGATTTTATGACGAAACTGGTTTTAAACTGTAAAGTTGAGCTGCTATCCTGTTGCTATTTTCAGTTATATGTTTTAACTGCTCATCACTATCTTCAGTCTTTATTTACTTTAGTTACTTACTGAGTTGGCGTACTCACGTTACTCCCTGCACCATGTATGCAGATCCAGGAGCCTGTGTGGCCGCGTGAGCATTTCTTCAGCTGGTTCAGCTTCTGTTGGAGGATTCCAAGGTAACTGCATGGCGTTCGCAGCCTTGATTTCTCCCCTCTATCTTATTATTTTCCGCATTTCTAAACTATCTATGTAGTAGGTTGTTCAGACTTGTAATTAGAGACTTTAGACTAGTGACACCAGATGGTTGGGTGTGTAGTAGTTGTTATGTTGACATACCGCATATTTCTGTCATTTTTATACTTGTATTGAATTCCGCATTTAAAACTTATGTTAGAAAAATGGCTTAAAGTTATTGGTAAAAGGGTTGTGATTATGGGTTTGACGGCTTGCCTAGTACTGTGATAAGTGCCATCACGACTGGTATTTGGGGTCGTGACATTTTTGCTACGATATCGATACTGTTGCTACTTCTGAGTTCACTAGATGTGGATGCTCGTGCTAAGCACAGGCTTGTCATATACTGCAGCATTAGCTAGCGTTTGGTCATAGATTTCCAAATTTGTTTTGAAAAATCTGATTTGGGTGAAGTTTAATTTGCAAATGAAAATGTGTTTGGACATACGTTTTCAATACACATTTCCCAAATTTATTTTGAAAAAACATGTATATTATTAGTGTTTCAAAATATTTTGGTGAGCTGGTTTTGGAATTTTTGCCAAAATATGGGCAAAATCTATGACCAAACATGTGTTTGCCAAATAAAATCCAAATTTATTTTGACAAAATCTATGGCCAAACGGGTCTAGTGTTTGAGATTCAATGCTTCATAAATAGCACATACAAATGTGATTTTAACTACTGTAGACATAGTCAAACGCTTCTCAAGTCATCTAGCTACAAATTGAAGCAGAAATAGATTTGACAATACCATCACATAAAACTCATATTTCTTGTTAAGGAACAACGAAATAACTTAAAAAGAGCTTCAAAAGAAAACTTACGCATCAGACCAAGCAGGAGGAGTAAAGAACATACAATTGCATATCAAACAATCTTAAAAAAATACGAGCTTTGAAATGGACTGGTGCAGCTTAAAATTACCCTGATAGAGCTCCCTCTTTCTACAAAAAGAATCCAGGAAGAGTTTCTTAACCTTCAAATTGCATTATATCCTTCAATCCTCGGGCAAACCGACACAGCATAAGTTAATTGGTATTATATGAAAACTACAATTTCTATGGAAATATTACACCAGTTTATCGTCCCAAAAGTTGTATTACTTTAAACTTTCCATTTTATTTATAGTGACTACTTCAAGAAGAAACTTGGTAGTGCCACAGTGATTTCACACTAGATTTATAGCTTATGATGAATCAACAGACTGCAGACATGGTTTATAGCCAGTCGCGCCTTGCTCCCACATGGAAAAGAAATGCATGTTAGCTAGAAAACAAAAGCATATACTCTAGCTATACATTTGGAACTAGAATAATCGGACACCAGAATTCAGAAGAACATGCAGTAACTGATGGAGTATCCTTGTGCAATTGAATAACATTTTTCAATGAAAAAAATTGGTGAAATGCCAAATAAAGATATGAAAGACCTGAGTTTTTAGCTTCTACAATGAACCGTGCGCTCTAAATTGGTCAGATTATTTGCAAACATGCTTCCAAGATGGTCCAACATCTCCTTCGCTCGGCTAAATCCAAAATCAAGAAGCACATCAATGAAGCCAAATCAGTGCACTCTCCTATTCCAGTATAAGAAATAATCTAAAAATACAATTTGCATCAATAGTAAGATACAGACAGTCCATTGATATCTACTACGATGGATATTGTACCTGTACAACATTCAAAGAAATAGGGAACAACTGTCAGAGTATATTAATTTTCTCTAAGCAATTGCACTCATTAAGCAAGAAAGTTATACATGTACAAAAGATCATGAAACTACTATTTTGTGGAAGGACCATTTAGTATTTACTAAAACAAAATCATTGAGTCAATCACGAGTACTTCAAAGTCATGCAGCATTTCTGAGAGATTATGAGCTTTCAACAGTCATTCTTTAGATATACATGTTATAATATTATCTGGTATGACTAAGCATTAAAACTGCTTAAAGACCAAAACAACGTTAAAGCTCATATTAAGCTTAGCATTTTGAATACTCCAATAATCTTTTTAATTACAATCAACTACATATTAGTCAAGATTAATTAATTTGACTATCAATACAGAAATTTGTGCAGAAGGTAACTCAAACATGCTCATATTTAATGCATTGTAGATTACACAATATTACTGTATTAAAAAGATAAAAATGATGTAGTTGAAAATTATTTTTTCTTCGGTAGTAAAGTAGTTACTTTCACCCTCCTTGCATTTTCACACAGCACTGTTTCATATCAACCCACTAAAATTAAAAAATACAGAAAAATCATCTAGCTACAACCAAGAAACTATAACACAACAGCTTGGCGCTCAACTTAAAAAGCACACAACTTGGACGATAAAAATTGAAAAAGACAGTGCATGATTGAAATTTATTATCTAATCTGTTGGGAATTTTCAAATTTTAAAGAGGAAAAAGAATTAATTTTTAATTATCCAAAAATAGAAAAGTAAATATATATTCATCAAAGTCAGATATGCTCGCAAGCACCTATGTATCTATTACTACCAAACACGCATGGGCAAATCATGACATACATGTGGAAAATCAAGCACAAAAATTATTCAAAAGAACAAAGAAACTAATATTCACCGACAAAATTCTGCAGATAAAAGAAAGATGGAGAGAAGACTCACCAGAACAGAAAGTAGACATCAAAAAATAAATTCAGCTTAAAATTGAAAACTTGAAAAGGAAACCGGAAGCAAAGGCCAGAAAGAAGAGCAAAGAACCCCAGGAGAAACCTTGAAAGGGACCAAGGACCGATGGCCTGAAGGCTGAAAGATGAGACACATTAACGTTAGTACAAAGACTATAGCATTAGAAAACAAAAATTGTACTCAAAAAAGGAAATGAACACTTGTCAATTGAAAAAGAGATACCTGAGAAGCAGCAACTATGAGAGTGACAATCGCGAAGAAATCCTAGAACTCGACTCCTGCCATTTACATAAACTCGACTTTGTAAAAACTCAACTATCAGTTTTGAGATTAGACTTCAATATTGCTATTCCAAAGTGGTTACACAATAAGAATACAACATCAGCAAACTGCGATAGAATCAAATGTGAGAAAAAGACAATGGTGTAAATTAGTAGAAACAAAAAAATGGTGGTCAAGTTGTGAACTCGTATAATCCTAGGATATATTCACGATATAATTAACACCAAGTTCCCTTCCATCCCCAACTTGTTGTACTAAACAATAATTATTCACTTTTCTTTACGCAGAGAAATTAATTATATACGGCAATAAAAAATTTATTAGAAAATAATGAACTAACAAAAATCACATCATCTATACATGACTTGGAAAAACTTCCACATGCATATTAGAAGAGTAGAAGAGGAGGCTTTAAAAGGTAAAAGATAAAAGGAATATCATCCAAGCTCATCGCAAACTATAGAACACCGACGAAATCAAGCCAACCCCAAAGACATCGTGCAAACAAAAAGTGTAGATACATCACTATTCATCTATATTTCTATAGTTATTTTGATTTGAAAGAGAGAGAAAAAAAAATAATTTGTGCATAAAATTATAATCAGTAATTCTAATTCAGTATCTACAATGTTAATATACTGAATACTTTCCTCTCCAACTACGAACAATTTCTGAATGATGTAGGACATACCTTTGACATTTTTTCATAGTGCTGCTTTATCACAAATTCACAATTTTGTATAGGCATCTTTAGAGTATTGAATGATCATCTAGGGTTTAGAATTCTAATAGGGTTTTTTCGATTTGAAATTTTCTGGACAAATTGATAGTTTTATGCAAGGAGGGACAAAGAGGAGATGGTGAATAGGGAGGATCAGAGAGAAAGAGAGCTGAACCAGAGAAGATGGAGAGTTGCATTACTATGAAAGAGACCAAATATTGTTCTTTTGTATAAAGTAGTACACATGGTCTCTTTCCAAAATTACCGTACACGTGTACTATAGTAAAATGCAATAACTAATGAAATGGGTCCAAGTCTACGGTACAAGTAATACAACCTTTTGTACAATTGATTATTGATGTGTTCGTACACCCCTTCCCATTTATATATACTACTAGGCGGGTGAAGGTGTGTGCCAGCACAGGCCCAACATAAAGATGTCCTAAATTAGTTCTGACATTGCCATGCGATTGTATTATAAGATGGAATATTATCAAATAGAGATGTTTTTAACATTGCTATATTGCTCTCTTCTATTAAGACATTTGTGATCTACAACGTTTTAGTATTTAGCAATGCACGATTGCATGAATACTTTGTATAGGAGGCGATTTATTATAAAATTCTGGTACATATACATGTATTCTACTTATTAGCTCTTCTTCAAAGCCATTGGATGGCTTTGTTTCTTACCAAACTTAAAGAACAGTTTGGTTGAAGGTAGAGACGACAATAGACTATTTTTATAATAAGTGGAATACTTGCATATAAAATTACACAAGGTCATTCTTTTCTGCATTGTTGTTTTACAATACAATAAACCTTATTGGATAAATAAATTCATTCATCAACTCTAACTTCTTTTACCAGAAAGCTGGCGCATGTGTACAATTTATGGAATAACTACTACCACTCAAATTCCAAACAAGAGCAAGATCTGTCGGCTATAATTTTAGGCAGGTCATATATTCCTCCATATCCATCCAGAAATATATAGGATTAGAGAAGACAAAGTAGGACTTCCCTTTCAATTTTTCCAAAGTTCTCTTATCCTCATTGCTGCTTCAACTTTGAGCAAATAACTTTACACTCGTGAATGGAAAGATATGAAAGATATAACAAAATTACCAACTGAAAGAAAAAAATAAAACACACTTTTCTTTCCTGCATCTATTTCGCACAAGAGACGTGATACCAGCCTAAGAATAAAGCAACTTATCGAGCCCAAAGAAAAGCCAGTAAGCTACTTTTAAATGACATATGAATGAATTGTACCTCTCTTCGAGGGTATTCAGACCAATCAGCACAAGTGATCCATGCATGAGACGCTAATCAAATACACAGAAAAGGAATATTACCTTATCACCATCGTAAATCACTACTAAGTAAAGGCCAGTAATACTTTCCTGGTGATAGTTAACTGAAGACCCCACTTAATCACCTTAAACACCACCTATTTTTTTCAATCAACTACCAAGATGTACTCTTTGTAAGGAAGATCACCTAGGATTCAAGCATACAACTTCCAGATAGTCACAAACTACAACGACCTCCAATAACACTAATACTCGAGCTTCATACTGTGTGTAAATTTTGCAAAAGAGGCTTCAGCCACAACATCGATATCAACTAAAGGAAGAAATGATACTATATAACTTTAGTAAAGCAAGAAATCACTTGCAAATTTATTAGATATATAAAAGAATCAATTTTAAAAATGGATTATTCAAAAAATAACAAAAGGGATTTTTTATCAGAAGTAAACCCGAAGCTAATCAATCAATTACCTGGAATTCTGAGTTGTTGTAAAGAAAACATGAAGAACAAAAGAACCCAGGAATATAGTGAAGGGCGAAGATCAAAAGAACAAAATGGAGAAACTTTGTTAAAGGAAACAATAGTGTCACAGAGGAGAGAGCCAAAAGACGCTGGACAGGAAGTGCAAAAAGGCGAAGATGAAGGGGGAGTCGGAAAGAGAAGGGTAACTCTAGTACAATTGAAGGTCACGTAGTGATTCAGACATGAAAAGTTGAGATTTTTATTTAGGTATTACTGGATATTCAAAATGTGAATTAGTCTCGTGTATTTTAGAATAGTATCTTCAACATAAATAAATTTTGAAGAAATTAATGCAAGGATAAGATGAAGAAATCATAGATCTAGACTCTAGAAACAGTTTCTAGAATAATAGCCTCAACTTCAATTTTGAAGACAAGAACAGACATGTCAAACTCTGTCATAACAAAGAAGAGACATGTCAAAACTCCCACTTCAATCACTCTACAACAACCATAGTCTTGTTAACTTGACTTTTAGAAAATGTAGTGTTATATTTAGAGTACAGGGAAGTTTATGGATCTAAAAGCAACAGTTGTGCATCTTATTTCCTATATTAATATGGAACCACACAGCTATTTTTGTCTATGCTTCTTAAATTATGTTTCTCCCAAATACAAAACTAATATGGAATTTTGTTTTAGTTAGAAAATTTCGAACAAGTATCATTGGAGTTTGAAGTAAGAAAATATACGTTTCATAGAATAAAAAGCCTTGTAAACACTTATTAAGCAAAAGATAAGAGTTTTTATAGTCTTTGAACCCTGTCTTTCTTATCAGAGTCTATCTGAATATAACAATAATAGCCAACATTGTTTCACCCTTTCTTACCTAATATCAATTGATCTCAAAAAGTTATTGGAGATTATGCTTGTAACTGACGTACCTCTTTAAGACGCTTTTTGTGCTCTTTCCATATAAGGAAACACATTCACATGTTTTCACATATGTTCAATTGACCAGGTATATCGTCAAGCATACACGAGCTTCATATGTGATATGTAATTCAAATTCAGTCATACTGCTATCCACTATCTATCTTATAACGATAATCAAATTCGATATGAAATAAGTAATACCATCTTCCTTAATAATCATAACTATAACCAAATCAAATGTTCAAAATAAAAACACAGAAGAGGTGTTAAACATGAGAACAATTCACTTAACAGACTACACAACTAAAAAAACACCCTGTCAAAAGCTTGGATAGAATTTTTCATGTATAACTATGGGGAGCCCGAATTGGTAAAATCTCAGCAAGCACTGGTCCAAGCTTTGAGGCACAAGTTCGTATGTTCAAACTAAATGTTCGGGTCATAGTAAATCTATTTCATATACCTGATTTTCTTATATTCTCATCATTTTCCTACACAGTCGGGCAAATAAATAATGAATATTGTAGAATACTTATACTGCGTAAATTTCTCAAAGAACTCAATGTAGAGCAAATTTTGTAAGCTTTTTATTACGACCCAAACCGGTGGGCCGCGACGGATGCCCGAGTCCTACCTGTCGAGCATCCTTAAGCATGCGTCTAAGATATAAAGATGAATAATATACGTGAGGGAAACCTATCCAAAAGACATATGTACATATACATGCGAAATACCGTGGGCGAGCCGGCAAGGCTGCTATAGACAATAATATACCCAAAACTGGAAGCCAACAAGGCCACATACTATCCAACTATACATAACTATCTACAGACCTCTAATAGAAAATCCAACTGTAGAAGGATGGGATTGGGCCATGTAATACCCATATATGCATACAAGCATATCGTACCAAAATCAAAAGCAACTCCGGATCAAGTGGAGCACACCAACTCTCACCGATTAAGGATCCTAAGAAGGGGGACTGTCAGCTTGCCTAACTGCACCTGCGGGCATGAAACGCAAGCCCCGAGAAATAGGGCGTCAGTACAAATAATGTACTGAGTATGTATGGCATGAAAATCAGTACATAAGAGACATAGGTGAAACATGGAATAAGGAATTCCGCTTGTAAGTCTAAATAACTTTACAAATCCTGAAACAATTATAATATCATGCGCGTGGGTGTAAATGTCGTGTCATGCATAGATATAGGTGTACATAATATCATCAAGCCTCTGAGGGCATCCCATCATATCATCTTGGCCGTTGTGAGTAAAATCATCAACATATACCAACTGATCAGGTGGTGGTGCGTATATAACGCCATAATCTTTTCCTATATCCCATATACATATAATATACATATATACGTGTATATAATATCATCTGGTCATGGGTCAATGTAAATGACTGCAATACATTAGAAGTACGTCAATAAAATCTTTCGGAGTGTCATAAGACCATTATACCTCTAATTAATATCATGAAATAAACTTCTTCAATAATATGTCAGTGGTAGTAATGGTCTACATGTTCTTACGGGGAGACTTTATCTTGCTCTCAGTGGTATTGAGGAGTACGCCATCAGAAATACCAGCAGCAACAAAGCACTTGATGCAATTTTTAATCAGCAATTTGTTATCTAGCTTGGTGTGTGAAACAACCCAAGTGATACACCAAACCAACTGATTGTATTAGCTCAACATTAATTGTGTACAACGCATATGTTAATGAAAGTAAGGATAGGACAGCAGAATTCTAAGAAGAAAGGGGATGAGAACTAGACTGATACAACAATGGGGACGAGAAGTATGGAAAAAGAACAGAGATGAGAAAACAGAGCTTAACACTTGACAACTTCAGCATAAAAATGCACTACGTCTTCTACTGTATTTATAACTAATTTCCCCATGCTGCACTTTCATGTACTGAGCGCTTGCCTAAGCTCAAAATGGGTCTCACACATAATTTTCCAAATTCCAAAATGAATCCTCCACCAAGTGACTCACTGAGTTCACAACAGTGTGTTCACTGCCCTCCCTATGACTGTGGAGAACTCTTTGGAGCATGGCTTCCTTCCGGCAATCTGGGATTTTGTAACTATGCAACTACAACTTGCCTCACTATTTTTCATATACTCAATGGTAACCTATGCACATTTCTTTGGTAGGACCATTCTTCATAGGGGAGCAAAGTACCGTGCAACTGGGCGTGGTTTTGTTGTGCAGCGCAAGTGCTTTGCTGAGAACTATCAGCGACATGCTCGTAGCCACTTTGTCAAGGCAATCTAACTTAGAGTGATCCTGGTTATGTAAGCTTCACATATCCCCTTGACTAAGTGTTTAACCAAAAATTGGGATTTCGGTCAAAGCTTATTTTAGAAGAACTTGGGTTACTGATAATCGAATAGAAATAAGAATAATTGACAAATAATAACTGAATATAATGCAAAGTAAATCAATGTATTTCAATAGTATTTCGTATCCTTACAAATGACCAGTCTTCTCCTTTTATAGCTACCTCTAGGTAATACGTTTTGTTTCTGTCATAATTGAGCCATTATTGACAATTAATTACATTTAATGTAACGTTACAATT